CACAGAAACACACACATGCACAGACACACATGCAAACACACACGGACATACAAACACACATACAAACACACGCACGCACACGAACACACAGACACATATACAAACACACTCACTCCAACACACACGGACATACAAACACACATACAAACACACGCACGCACACACCGTTCAGATGCAGTTCCTTCCACGTGTTCGTGAGGAGATCAAACAGCCACAGGTCGTTGAGCTTCCCGCCATATGGGGCATTGCGATCCCCAACGTCGCCTCCGAATAGAACAGCCGTGTCAGGGTCTGCATGCATTCGTATGAATGCGCGTGTGCGGGGGAGCAAGTGTGCGTGTGAGTGCGCGCGCGAGAGAGAATATGCGCGAGTGAACCGCTGCGCGAGTGAACCGCTGCGCTCATGTTATGTATTGCACGTGCGCATGGGTGTGCGAGCGGAGGCAGGGTCAACCCATAACACGGGCCTGATGTTGGGTACCGATGAGCACGACTGAGTGTCCGTATCTGGCCTGCGGTGCACTGTTGTCCTTCCCATCGTTCACCAGCTTCCAGTGTCCCGCGTCGAGGTCAAACTCCCACGTATCACTTCAGTGTGTGTGCGTGTGTGTGTGTGTGTGTGTGTGTGTGTGTGTGTGTGTGTGTGTGTGTGTGCGTGCGTGTGAAGGAAAGACGCAGATCCAAAGGGATGTGGAGTGATGTGAGCGCATAACAATCGAAGCGGCGGACATGCAGATAGGCAGACGGACGGACAGACACACACACACATGCACACACACACATGCACACACACATGCACACACACACACATGCACACACACACACACATTTACACACACACATGCACACACACACACACACACATGCGCGCGCGCACATGAACGAACCTGCACCAAGTGGGACGATGGCGGCGATGGTCGTAGAAGTATCCCAAGAAGACAAGCAAGCGGTCTCGCTTTGCATCAAACAGGAGCTCATGGTTGTATCTGTGGTGCAGCAAGTACACATGTGCAGTGGTGAGCACATGCAACGATGGGCAAGCAAACTCACGCACACACATGCACACACACATGCACACACACACACACACACATGCTCACACATGCGACCTGTAGGAGGGTGCTGGGGGCGCGCCTGGTGCATCAAAGTCATTGCGCTGCGGCACAACCACTGTCCACCGTCCTGTGAAGTCGTTCCCTGCAGCTGCCACACCCAGACACGCCGCAACAACCACCGCCACTGCCACCGCACTCACCGCGACACTCACTACGACACTCATCACAGCAGTCCTCATCTGAGCTGTCCTCCCTGAACCACTTTTTCGCACACAACGACCAGCAAGAAGGGAGATGAACAGTGCGATGCTGTCGCGTGGCAGTGGTGGTGGTGGTGGGAGGTACAGGAAGGTGGTGGACCCCATCAACCCGTTCAATGACGATGCGTCCTTCGACCGGCTGCCGGGGTACATGTTCCTGCTCGGGCCCATCATCTGCGTCGTCATCACGCTGTCGGCGCTCGCCCACCTGTGGTATGCGGCAGTACTTCATCCGTTCGTTGCCGTCACCGCGGAGGAACGCGAGACCAACATCCACGCGTCCATGGTGGCCACCATCTTCGTCGTGCTGCAGTCGTGGGCCATCTACGCCACGTACACGGCCAGGATCATCCCGCTGCCGGCGGAGAGCTCGCTGTACAGCGGCACCAAGTCCCTGACAGACCTGCGAAACACGGACATCATCACGCTCGAGTCCGTGGCCACGTACTGCAAGCACTGTAACCGGTACCGGCCCGTGTCTGCGCACCACTGCAGGCTGTGCAAAGGGTGCTCGCTGGACTTTGACCACCACTGCCCGGCGCTCGGGAACTGCATTGGCCTTCACAACTACAAGCAGTTTCTCCTCGTCATCATCTACAGCTGGCTCGCCGTCCTCCTCGCCTTTCTCGTCCTGCTCAGTATGGGGCACGTCGGCACCGTCATCGGTGCGTTGATTAGTGAAGCGGGGAGGGGTGCTGCGTGGCGTCTGCGTGCGTGTGTGTGTGTGTGTATGTGTGTGTGTGTATGTATGTATGTATGTGTGTGTGTCTGTGTCTGTGTCTGTGTCTGTGGGTGTGTCTGTGGGGTGGGTGTGTGTCTGTGTGTGTGTGTGTCTGTGTATGTGTGTGTGTGTCTATGTGTGTGTGTGTGTGTGTGTGTGTGTGTGTGTGTGTGTGTGTGTGTGTGCATGTGTATTTATGTGTACACACGTGTGCATTGTAGGCTCTTCCACGCTTATGCACCCCCCCCCCATCATTCAACCACTGTAGGAACCATCTTCCCGATGACAACATCCCTACAAGCCATGGCAGAGTGAGTGCACCCCTCAGCCCATGCACCAAACCTGTCCCAAGTGGTATACATCCTAAGCGTACACACACACACCCACGCAAGCACGCACACACACACACACATACCCACACACGCCCATAACCCTAACCTCCCTCTTAACCACCTTGCATTCCACCCCCCCCCCTTCTTCTTTGCTCCTCCATCCTGCAGGCGACAGCTGCGGCAACCATCCTTCTTTGAGCTCATCTTCTTTGCCTGGGGCGTCTTCCTCTCTGCATCGACGTCCGTGGCGTTCCTCATGTTTGTTGGCATTCACTGCCGTCTCATCATGCAGGGCAAGACCACACTGCAGATGCTCGTGGGAGAGGTGAGCATGTGCATCTGCGTGCGTGCATGTGTGGTACATGTGTTATGCGAGTATCTGCGGTGCATGTGTGGCGCACGTGTGACGCGAGTACACGTCTGTCCCTGCTTGAAACACCGAATGCACACACATTCACACACCAACGTACACATGAGCACAACTGCACACCCTCACAACCACGCACTTCCACATGCGCACACACATGCAGAAGGACGTGCGACACAAGGCGCCCATGTCTTACGATGAAGAGATGGAGGCGAAGATGACGCCATTTGAGAGAATACAACTCGTCTTTGGGCGCGACCTGTGGCAGGTGAGAGCCGCCGACGCTTTCCCAACACTGTGTTAAGCATACCTGTGGATCTCCGAAACCCTTCAACTTGCTTCTGTGCCACACCCACTCACTCGCTCTCACTCACTCACTCACTCTCACTCACTCACTCACTCTCTCTCTCTCTCTCTCTCTCACTCTCTCACTCACTCGCTCACTCACTCACTCACACACACACACACACTCTCTCTCTCACTCACTCACTCACACTCTCTCTCACTCACTCTCCTCCCGTCATCGTCAGATGGGATTGCCCATCGTGCGTGCGTCAGACCTCCGTTACCGCTTCCAACGCTCCATCCGCCCGCTGGAAGTCCGTGAACCGCCATCCCGTATCGTGTAGTCGGTGGTTGTGAACCACGTCGCCCAGCACCACACCGCTATCCCGTGATGAAGCGTGGCATGTTGTCCATTGCTTGAACCTTTTGTTTGTCATCCATATCTGTCACGCCATCACATTGCCGCTCTTGTTGTATGCGTGCTCGCCTGCGTTATCATTGTCCCATCTCTCTTTTCGAGTGGCTTGCACCTGCTTGGCTTTCGTTTTCGCTTTACATGTGTACATAACAACTGCACCCCCGTGCGTCGAGCGGTGAGAGAAAGAATTGAACAAAGAATCAGAGGGAGTGCATCAGAATGGACAAGCAGGCAAGCGAGCAATAACTGTTGGTTCAATTTGAAAGAAGCACAAGCAAGGAAAGGGCAAGCAGCAAAAACAACAAGCAATCAAACAAGCAAGCACGAGCGACGCTCAAACGCAGCGCTCACGTGCACATCAACAGTACAGGGACCTGTCTGAGGGAACCAGGCTCCGAGCTCACTACAAACCACACACACACACACACACGCCCTTATGGCTTTCTGGTTCACACTACACACTTCCAATTACACTGCACGACACTCCACACTCACACAACGCAATTGTCGGCTACTCTGTGCTGGAATAGTGATGGTAGAGGTTGCGGGACAACGACGATGCCAAGTAGCGCTGCCAGCAAACACAAGCATACATCAAAAGGTGAGCCAAAAAATATCAATGTAATACGAGCAAGTCACACACACACACACACACACACACACACACACACACACACACACACACACACACACACACACACACACACACACACAAACGCACACACACACAAACGCATACGCATCTATCTTCCGCCCCACCCACAACCCCCCATCCTTTGCTCACCTGGCCTGTTTGGTGTTGTTGTGGGTCGCGAAGCCCACGCCGCTTAGACGCAAGGCCGACCCGCATACCGCTGCCAACACCGCCTGCCTCCCTTCGCGTGGGCACACCATCGTTGCCAACACCACCAGCAACACCACCACCCACGCTGGTCGTGGTGTGGCGCAGGTGCTGCTCCTTCATGTGCGCCACCTGCTGCCGCAGTCGCTGCAGCGTCTTCTCAAACTCCAGCCGCTCGTGCGCGCCCACAGCATCGCGGACGGCAGCGTCGTGCTCAAGTGCAACGTTGATGTCCTTGATCTTGTCTCGCAGCGCCGCCTCCGCCTCCCGGTCCACGTTCCCGCGGTACTCGTCAAACGTCTTGCGCGGCACATACTCCTGCTGCAGTGCACGCAGCACGCGAGCGTGCTCGTCTTGCAGCGACAGCAGCTGCTCCTTGAGCTCATCATAGCTTCGCTTCTCCTCGTTGATGGCCTCGGAGTGCTTCCGCATCAGCGACAGCTTGCTCTCCTCCAACCGTGCGTGTGCGTCCCGCAGCTCTTGCACCTGCTGCTGCAGCCGCACCATGTCCTGCTGCGCCTGCTGCCTCACCGCGTTCACCTCCGTCTCCGTCGCCGGTGCTCGCAGCTCGCCCTTCTCGTAGCTACGCACACGCCCCTTCACCTTCTGCAGTTCAGACTCCAGCCGCCCAATCTTCCGCTGCAGCGATTCGTTGCGCTGGAACACGGCCTCCAGCTTCGACTCTGCGGCACGCTTCTTCTCAAGCGCCTGCCGCACGCGCTGTCGCTCCTTGTCAAGTTGTTTGCCCCACCCATCGGCAGCGTCCTCCATGCCAAGAATCTTCATGCCCAGCGCGTTGCGGGACTGCACCTCCGCCTCCCACAGCCGCCGCAGCTCGTCCACCTTCGACAACGCTTCCTCCCGCGCCGCCGCTGCCTGGTCGCGGTCCGCTGCTGCCTTGTTCAGTTTCGCCTGCACATCGCCCATGAGAGACTCGGCCGTCGCCCGCTGCTGCTGCACGCGATCGAGGGCCTCCTCAAGCGAGCGGCACCTGTCCTCTGCCCGCTCGCGAGCACTCGTCTCCTGTGCAAGCAAACCCTCCAGCCGCCGCGTCCCCTCTTGTACGCCATGCAGCCGCTCCCGCGTCTCAAGGTGCTGGTCCTCCTGCGCGTGTGCGCGTTGCAAGTCCTTGTTCAGGTCTGCAATGCGCTCATCGTGGGCGGTAATGTCACGTCGCAACTCGCTCTCCACGCGCTGTGCGTCCACAACCTCACGCTGCAGGGCCTGCACACGCGCCTCCAGCTCCTCGCATTTGCGTTGTGCTGCCGTTGCGTCCCGTTGCGCAATATCCCGCTGCGAGTTGGACAGCACCAGCTCCTTGCGCAATGTATCCAGCGCCGTGGTGTCGTCAAGGTCTGTGCGCAGGTGCGCAATCTCGCGTTCGCGCGTCTCGAGTTGCCGCGTCGTCTCCTCGACACGCACCTGCAGCTCCGTCACCTGCTGCTGCAGCTCGTGCGTGCGCGTGTCCAGCTGTGTCTGCACGCGCGTCACCTCGGCGCTCAGCTCTTCCTTCTCCACCCGCAGCTGCTGCATGGATGCGGCGGCCCGGTCAGAGTCCTGCTGCCTCTCATCCTCAACACGTCGCCGCGCGTCGCTTTCGGTGCGAAGATCCTCCTCCAGCTGCCGGTTTGCGTGTGTCAGCTCGTCCACGCGCTGCAGGGCATCCTCCATGCCTGCACGTGCACTCTCCTCTCGCTCCGTCGCATCAGCAGCAGCAGACGTGAGGCGCGCCACTTCCTCCTGCGACACCTGCAGCTTGCGTTCAAGCACGCCCGCCTGTGCCCTTGCTTCCTCGGCGCTGGTAGCCGCCTCCTCGTGCTTGGCTGTCATGCTCTCAAGATCACGGCGAAGCGTCTCCAGTTGCGTGTGCAGACCGCGCCTCTCGCCCTCGTGCGTGGAGCGCTGGTCGTCACCAGACGCGCGCGCATGCTCAATCTCGCGCTTGAGTGCGTCCACCTCTGCTGCGAGACCGGCGCGGCGCTGCTTCTCGCTCGACAGCTCCTCCTCAAGCCCGCCCTTGTCCAGTTTGAGGTCGTGCACTTGTGCATGTGCGTCCTGCAGCCGGCCTTTGGTCTGCTGGTGCGCGCGCTCCGACGCCTCCAGTTCGCGCGTCAGCGCCGTCACGCGGGCGGCAGCAATCTCGAGCTCGCCACGCGTCTCGGCCACCTGCTTCATGAGGCCGTCCACCTGCTGCTGCTGTTCTTCATCGCGCGCCTCTGTTCGCTGCCGCTCGTCCTTCAGCTGCGTGTCCAAGGCGGCCACCTGCGCACGCAGGCGTTCGCACTCGGTGCTCAGCGCGTCACACTTCCGCTGCAGCGCTGCCCGCTCGTCATCACCCTGCGCGCGCTGTGCGGCCAGTGCCTCCACCTCCATCTCAAGCTGCCGTCGGAGCTTCTCGTTCTCGTCGTTCAGCTCCTGGTATGCCTGCATCTCCTCCTGTGCATCCTCCAGCTCCCGCCGTGTCTCCTCTACCTGCTCCTCCGCTGCGCCCAGGCGACGCCGCGCCGCATCCAGCGCGTTTTGTTCCGCCTCCAATTCTGCCTGCAGGCTCGATACCTGCTGGCGAAGGCGGGTGCCCTCTTCCTCCTTGGACGTCAACTGGCGTTGGAGCTCAGCCACCTCTGCCTCTGCGGCCACGCACTGCGCGCGCAAGGCGTGGTCGCCCGAGCGAGCGTCGCGCAGCTTGCCCTCAAGCTCAATGTTCCTGTACTCCATGTCGGTGCACTGCTTGCTCATGCTGTCATACCTCACCTCCATGTCAGCCAGCTGCTGCTGCAATTTTTTCAGTAGGTCCTGCGCCTCCTCGTCAGACACGCGCACGACACGCGTGCCGTCAGCGATGCTGTCGTTGAGAGACTGGTTCGCCTCGCGGGCTTGCAGCGCCGTCACCATGACACGCAGCTGGCGTGCGCGTTCGTCAGCCTCCTCCCGCAAGCGTGCCTGTTCCCGCAGCAAGCGGCGCAGCTGCTGTGTGTTGCGAAGCGCAGCAGTGTCCCCGCCAGCTGCAGCCAACAGCACAGAGTCATCCATGAATGACTGCTGCAGCTGCTGGTGGTGGTCTCCTTCGCGTGCGCCTGCTTGTTGGCCAACACCCTCTTCGCTGGCATGCTGCTGTTGAGAGCGTGATGATGAGGATGAGGACGGCACTGTAACACTTGCGGCAGCGGCGGCCTCAGAAGTCTTGGCCTGCAGCTGCTGCCGCGACTGCTGCAGCTGTGCACCAAGCTGCTCCTCCCGCGCCCTGGCTTCTGCAAGCGTCGACTTGAGTGTGCTGTTTTCTTCGCGCAGGGCGTCCACATCACGCTCGAGTGCGTGCTCTCTCCGCGTGTGGTCGGCAATCTCTTGCTCAAGCCGCGTCACGCGCGCCTGCGCTATCGTCAACTCATGCAGGGCAACGGTGTCTGCGCTTGCTCGCGCCGCATCCATGGCAGCCTGCACCCTGCGCTCAATCATCTCCTCCTCCTCTTTGCGGCTCGTCTCCCCCTCCCCAGCTGCCGCCTGCAACTGCTGCTGCAGGTGCTGCACCTGCGCCTCTGCGCGCGTCACCCGTGCCTCTGCTGCGTACAAGCTCTGCACCGTCTCGCGGTGCCTCTGCTCCAGCTCCTCCACGTGCTGTTCCACAGACACCACGTCTCGGTCCCGCTGCTGCAGGCGCTCCTTCAGCGTCGTCACCTCCTGCCTTGCTGCGTCTGCCGCCACATCCGCTTGCGCACTCGCAGCTTTGGCCTCTTTGCTCCATCGCTCAACTTCCTCCTGTGCAAACTTCAACTCGGCGCTGAGGCGTGCGTTCTCCAGTCCCAGTCGCGATGCCTCTCGCTCCTTGTCCTCAGCGTTGCTTGTCCACTGGCTGCGTTCGCCCTCGAGGGAGGAGGCGGCGGCACGCGCCTGCATTGCGTCATCCTCAACCTCCTTCAGGCGCTGCTGCAGCTGACGAATTGTGCTGTCGCGCTCGCTCACACGCCGCTGTTCTTCCCGAAGTTTCTCAAGCGTGCGGTTCAGCTCTTCGTTGATGCGAATACTCGACGGCGTGGCCGCTGCCGCTGCTGCCGCCGTCGTTGCTGCTGCCGTGGTGACTGGTGTGGTGCTTGGTGCAGTCGAGGACACGGAGACGGCAGAAGCCTCTTCTTCCTGCCCCTCAATTGAGCGTGGCTGTGCCTCTTCCTGTTGTTCTTGCTGCTGCTGCTGCTGCTGCTGCTGGGGTTCATCGTGTGCGCTCGCAATCGAGGCTGTTCGCGGCGCTTCCGTGCGCGTGCAAGCTCCTCCTTCACCTGGTCCCTACGCGCCTGGCGCGTGGCGGCAGATGACGATGACGATGACAGCGGCGACGATACGGGCGACGACTAACGCAGTCGATTGTGTGTGTGCGTGTGTGTGTGTATGTGTGTGCATGTGTGTGCGTGTGTGTGTGTGTGTGCGTGTGTGTGTGTGCGTGTGTGCGTGTGTTTTCAGGGATGAGAATGAAGCAGGCTTGGCTTTGTGAGTGGAAGATGGCCACTGCAAGCGTTTGACAACGACAAGGATTACACGCACGCACACACACACACACATACACACACACTTGTGCGCATCAACGCCCATTGTGCACTCAAAAGAAACACTGCGAGCCTCACCTCGTGCTGTAGCTGCTGTGCTGCTGCAGCGGTGGTGGTGGAGGCCTGACCGAGCAAACTCTCCTCGTCCATACGCAGCTTACGCTGAGCCTCGCTCTCCTGCACCTTCTTTCGCTGCACCTTCTTCTTCCCATCATTACCAGCACCAGCACCAGCATCAACACCACTGCCGCCAACGGCACTTGCGTTGCCCTCGGCTGTCGTGTCGAGCAAATCATCCAAACCACTGCCAACAGAAAAGTCGCTATCGGCAGCATCATCTTGCACACGCGTGGCTGCTGGCTCTGACGACGCTTGTGCTGGAGCTGTATGCGCCGCTGCTACTGCTGCCGTTCTTGAGGGAACACCCGTGCCCCAGAGCGCAGACATGGATGGCTTCTTCTCCTCCTCCTCCCCTGTCGCTGTTGTCGTCCCTGCCGCTGGCCCTGTCGTTGCTCGCTCCTCTGCTTGCTGCACATCTGAGATGTGACCAAAGGAGGATGATTCATCCGCGCTCACGTCCGCATCGCCCGTGGAGTCGTGGCCGCTCATGCCTCCAACTGCCGCTGCTGTCGCTGCTTTCGCTGTGGAGGCTGCCGTGTCTTCCCCGCGCGTCTGTGTTTGTGGTTGCTGCTCTTCTGTTTGTGGCTTTGACGTTGCGCGCTCGTCACCCATTGCTGCTGTCATGACAAACGACGCGTCATGGTCACCATCGCTGACAGGCTCCGTGTCCCAGTTGCTCTCCTCTTCGCCCTCATTGTCCTCTTGTTCCTCGCGGCCGCCGCCGCTACCACCCTGTTCCGCGCCACCTTTTGCTGTCGTGAACTGCGAGCTGAGGCGCCGTGCAAGCGCCTCGTAGTCGGTGGGCAGCGCTGTCTCTTGTGCACCACCACCTGTTTGCTTGCCCGTGCCCGTGCCGAGCTGCGACATTCCTTTCGCTTCCATCTGTGATGGCTCTTGAAAGCTGTCCTCACCACCACGCTGCTGCTGCTGCTGCTGTTGCTGCTGTGGTGGCGAGCCTTGGTCGGAGTGGCTGTCCCACGAAGAGGACGAGTCGGAATCACCACCACCCATCATGCTGCCTTGCACTGCACAAAGAGAGGGTGGGGTGGGATGACATGCGACGAGGGGCACATGGCATGAAATGCATCCGTGAGGGTATATGGGGGACATTGCGCTCACATGAGCGGATAATGACCAGCATGCCGTCCACAACAAATGGGACCACGATGCGTACATGAGAAGCACGCACCACACATGCATATGCAAATACACACACGTACACGCATACGCACACGCGCACCACACATGCATATGCAAATACACACACGCAAACACACGCACACACAACAAACACACACTCACACACCACACACACACGCAAACACACACGCACACAAACAATCACACCCACTGCACTGTCGCTGTACCTTTTGCGGTTGAAGCGGCCTGGGCCGGGGAGGCGTTGTTGTCCGACTCGAATCCCGCCACGTTAATACCGAGCTCTGCAAGTGAGGGCATGTCATCATCTGACGCCACCGGGGGCCGCCCCTCTCCGAGCAGCTGGCCAAAGCTGTCGTCGCTGTCGTGGCGGTGCGAGAAGCCGTGCGAGTCATCGTCCTCTGCCGCTGCGCGACGACGACCGCCCTGGCCGCCCTGGCCGCCCTGGCCGCGCTGCCGAGGCGTGCTGCTGGTGAGTTTGTCTGTGTCCCACTCCAGCTCGCCACCAGCACCGACCCTGTGTGCACCGCCACGCACAACCTGCGCCGCTGGGGTGCGTTGTGCCGTTGGCGTCTTGGCCAGGGATGTCAGCGCACTCGTTGCAGCCTCGTGGCTGAAGTCCCAGTCATCCTCGTCCTCATCACCATGACCACCGCCGTGCTGTGCATGTGCAGGCTGCCTGGCTGCAGTCGTGGCTGCTGCTGTCTCAGCATGGCCAACGCCCCACTCGCCGCTATCTCCACCGTCGTCATCTTCATCATCGTCGTGCTCTGTGTCGCTGTGCTGCCCCTCGGGCCGGCCAAGCCGGGAGCCAAGCTTCATGCCAATAATGCTGGCGCCCATGCGCACGGCATCGGCGTGTCCACGAACGCTCCCGCTGCGCCCGCGAATTGCGCTCCCCTTCAGCGTGTCCAGGTTGGTGTCTGTGTCTCGCAGCTGTCACCAGGGGAGATAGGGTGAGGATGAGTGAACGTGCAGTTTGGCGTGTGGAAATGTGCACATTGCGCGGTGCGTGTGTGTGTGTGTGTGTGTGTGTGTGTGTGTGTGTGTGTGTGCGTGTGTGTGTGTGTGTGTTTGGGGCGTTGAGCATATCATCATCACGACACCACCAACACCACCACCACCACGAACCCATCTCAATACACGTGTGCCAAGTTGAATTCACGCACCTTCTTGCTCAGCGCAGCCTGCATGGAGTCATCAGAGGAAGACGCATCAGCAGACACAGCACCGCCACGACGAGCATCATCCTCATCACCATCATCATCGTCATCATCAGAATGGGTGGCGTGTGTTGCTGCGGAGGTCTTGGCGGCTTTCGCCGCAGGCCCAGGGGCAACTCCCTCGGCTGCTGCCGTTGCTGTTGTGCTGCGCTTTGCTGCCGATTCCTGCGCCATCGCCTGTGCAACACCACTGCCACCACTGCGCCTGGCCTGTCCCTGCCCTTCATCTTCCTCTTCATCACCGTCTTCGCCACTACCACCGTCCTTACGGAACGACAGCTCACTCATCGCATCATCGTCGTCATCACCATCATCACCATCACCATCTTCTTCACCATCATCAGCAGCAGCAGTAGCAGCAGCAGGTCGGTGCATGGCTCCCCCTGCCAGTGTGCTGGTGGCTTCAGCGAGGGGTGCACTCGTCGCTGCTGTCGCGGGTGGCGGCGGCGTTGTCTTCGGCGGCGCTGAGAACATGAACGTGTGTGAGTGAGTGTACGTGAGTGAGTGAGTGTATGTGTGTGCCAGAATGATCCCGATGGGCCCCATTAAGCATACGCAGAAGCCAATCATTACATACTCCTTCCGGACATACAATACAACACACAAGCGGGCACGCACCAAGAGCGTCGACGGTGGCTTGGTGTCCGTTGGCCTGAGCGAGATCTGCTGCCGTCTGCCCGCTGGCATTGGCCAACGTGGTCTGCAACAGTTTGGGGGTGGGGGCAAAAATATCGGTTATGAGCAGAAGAAGGCACGCATGTACCCGCACACACAGACACACGTGTGCAAACACATGCAAAAATACACATGTATACGCGCACGCGCACACACACACACACATGTACGTCCTTGGAAAAAAGCAAAGCGTACCGAAGCGCCTGCGCGGAGAAGCAGTGAGACGACGGCGTCGTGCCCGCGCTGTGCCGCCACCATAAGCGGCGTGTCACGTGCGCTGTTGGCCGCATTGAGTTGCGCTCCCTGCTGCACCAGCACATCCGCAATGCCCGCATCGCCAGTGGCGGCTGCAACGTGCAGTGGGGTGTTGCTGGCGTTGTCGCGTGCGTTGACATCGGCCTCCCCCTCTGCCAGGACGCGGGCAATATCGGGCTGGTTGTGCTGCACCGCGATATGCAGCGGACTGGCGCCGTTGTCGTCGAGGACATTCACGCCGTGCCCTTGCTGAAGGATAGCCATCGCCACGCCTGTGTGCCCGCCCTGGATCGCCTGCGCATGTGCATGTGTGTGAGCGTGTGTGTGTGTGTGTGTGTGTGTGTGTGTGTGTGTGTGTGTGTGTGTGTGTGTGTGCGTGTGTGTGGTTGTTGGTTCAGCTGACACCGACGTGTGTGCCGAACAGTAACGCGAACAGCAGGAATTGAGTGTACGCAGGAATTGAGCGTACCTTGGCGAGTGGTGTGCATCCCTGTGCATCGCGCAAGACAGCTGCCCTGCCCTCTAGCAGTTTGAGGACGCAGGACAGGTGACCCGCACTCGCTGCCAAGTGCAGCGCCGTCCTATGCGAACGAAACAACCACAGACCACACACGACAAAGCATGCATCACGCGTCAGTCATACGTGCAGATCACAAGAGAACAAGAAAGGCAAGGTCAGAGATGCAGGCACGCGTTGTGTGTGTGCGTGTGTGTGTTTGGGCGCGGAGAACATGGTGTGGTCATAAGCGCACCTGCCCTCGGCGTCTTGTTCGTTGATTTGACCTTTCTTGATAATCTGGTCGAGTTTGGACACATCGCCAGCAAGGGCTGCGCGACCCGCCTTGGTCAGGCTCTTCACGTTCAGCTCGCCATAAGACGACTTTGACGCAGCCGCCTCCGCCTGCCGGTCGCGGCGCGAGGACTGCCAGTGGAGTGAGTGGGTTGAAGATGTGAGGTGAGGAGGGCAAGGCGAGTGTTTGCATGTGTGTGATGAGCGTTGAAGAGAGGCGCAATCACACGCGCTGTGCGTGTCTGACGCTGCGACCCATCACCAGCCACAGCATTGACCAACGTTCAAATCCAACGACTCACCCTTTGTCCCAGCAACCGGCGCATGGCTGCTCGTAAGGATGTGCAGAGCCAATAGAAAGCACTGCACGCAGCAGCCTCCTTCTTGTCGCTCCCTCTGCTTGCTTGGTTGGTTGGTGGTCGTTGTTCGCTGTTGTCGCTGTTTGTAGTGGTTGGCTGGATGCGTTGCCGTTTTTTTTTGAGCGGATTGAAATTTGAGGCAGGATTCTGCTGAGTCAGCAGATTTTCGCTGCTTCTCACAAAAGAACAAGAAGAACAAGAAGAAGAGGGAAGAGATGTCTTCGTGGTGGAGAAGCAGCAGTGGAGGAGGTGGTGGAGGTGGTGGAGGTGGTGATCGACGTGATGGAGGAGGCAAAGGCAGTGGCACAGGCACCAGCTACACGGGCGGCAGTGGCAGCGGTGCTGGGGACGCGCGCAAGCAAGCGGATGACGGCCGACTTGCACCAAGCGTGCTTCCAATCAAGGTGCGGTGTCTGTGTCTGTGTCTGTGTGTCTGTGTGTGTGTGTCTGTAAGTGATTGTCTCTGTATGTGTGTGTGTGCCTGTGTGTGTCTGTGTGTGTCTGTGTGCCTGTGTGTGTCTGTGTGTGTGTGTGTCTGCTTTGCCATTTGCATGCTGCGTGCTTCTCCATGCACACGGTGCTTGCGTATATGCAACGAGGGTTGCCAGTACCTCGACGAACCCGGCTGATTGTGCTCTGTCTCAACGTGTCTGCGATGGTGACAACAGAGAGCCATGGATCCAAGACACTTGACTCAATTCTTTCAGCACCGATGTAACGACCTCGGTACGTTCGCTGCACATGTCACGCTGTCCCATCACACTGCAGCCTGACACTACCTTCTTTACGCGCTCTCATCACGCCGTATCTTGCTCTTGCTCCCTTTACACACTCTTCCCCCTTCACTGCTTCAGACCGCCTGCCACTGGGGCTGCCGGATGTGTGCTGCGTCATCTACTCCGTGCCGAGCACGAGCAAGATCATGCGCGGTCGTCGTGACCTCATGGAGCACCACTACGTCGTCGGCATCAACTGCAGCACGCCCGCACACATTGCCGCCTACATTCAGCAGCACATTTCTGTTCGCCAACAAGAGGTCCGTTGCGTGCGCGCGCGCGTGTGTGTGCACGAATGTGTGTGTGTGTGTGTGTGTGTGTGTGTGTGTGTGTGTGTGTGTGTGTGTTGTGTGCGTGTTTGTTTGTGTGTGTGTGTGTGTACTTTGCTGTGCGCTTGGCTGACGGTGCATAAGCCTGCCATACACCCTCACACAACTCGTGTTCTGGTTGCTCCGCAGAACGGGCGCGGTGTGACGCCACTCAAGGCCATCTTCGCTGTTCACGACATTGTGTCCGGCATGGACATTCGCACAGAGCTCCTCTTCCCCGGCACTGTGCGCAGGTGTGTCGCGCTGCTGCTGCTGCTGCTGCTGCTGCTGCTGCTGCTGCTGCTGCTGCTGCGTGTGTGTGTGTATGTGTCTGTGTGTCTGTGTCTGTGTCTTTGTGTGTGTGTCTGTATGTCTGTCTCTGTCTAGCTGTCTGTGTGTGTGTCTGTCTGTCTGTGGACGGAAAACCAAGCTCGCTGTACTAACATGCGCCTACGCGCGTCTCTGTGCCAGCTTTGGAGTCGATGCCAAAGGAGGATTGCACATGGTGGAGGAGAAGATGTGGCCCCAGATATGGGTGCGCTCACAGTTACCACTCGTTGTTTCCGCCTGTCTGCACGCACCTCGCACTCGCCAATACCGAGCAACGCCATACAACTCACAAGCCCCTTTTGCTGTGAACATGCGTGTGTGTGTGTGTGTGTGTGTGTGTGTGTGTGTGTGTGTGTGTGTGTGTGTGTGTGTGTGTGTGTGTGTGTGCATGTGCATGTGTATGCGTGTGCGTCCATGCACCTCTTTCTCCAGCTGTCGAGCATGGTGCGTGCGCTGCACCGGCACGAGCGCCGGGACGATCGTGTCCCAGCGGAGGTCGTCATCAACCCGCTCCCAACGCCGCGCGCACTCGACACGCTCAAGGCATCCATCGCAAAGGTCGATACGTCTGTCTGTCTGTCTGTGTTTTTGTCTGTGTCTGTGTGTGTGTGTGTGTGACTGTCTCTCTGTCTCCCTGTCTCTCTGTCTGTCACTGTCTCTGCTGCACCACGCTGGCGTTCGCACGAGCGTCAACACCTCACCCTCCCCTTGACACACACACACGCACACACATCACCACCACCCACCCCATGTACCCCACGCCATTAGGTGTACTTCCCGCTGCTGCGTGCGCTTGAAGGGCGCGGTGTTCGCGGGCAGCGGCCGCACGACAACGCCCTCCTCTCCCCGCTCTGCTCCTTTCTCCAGCGACAGCACCTCGACGTCGAGGTGCGCTGTGTGCTGTGCGTGTGTGCGTGTGTGTGTATGTGTGTGAACGCGTGCGATGGCGATAGTATGCTTGCGCGTTTGTGTCTGTCTCTCTGCCCGTATGTTTGCCTGTCTGTCTGCCTGTGTGTCTGCACGCCATCACCATTCATTGTACATGTGACAACTGCCCCAGCTCAACATCACCTCACCACCCCCTCCCTTCATCTCTGTCCAGGCTGCGCTGCTGTGCAAGCGGCTGTCGGCGCACGATCCGCGGCTTGTCGCTGTTGCTGCCCGCTGTATCACCACCGCCGTCGACGCACAGCACAAGGTCTGCTATGCACGACGGACATGTGTATCATCTCGTGTTGGATGTGCTTGGGTCGTCATGTTGTCTTAATGTGTTGGCGAACGCTGCCTGCATTACTTGCACATTCATGCACCCCTGAATATCACCTTGCACACTCTCACACGCTGTGTATACGGCTGTACTTCACACACGTACACGCACACACACACACACGCACACACTGACTCCTTTCTGCAACCACCACCACCACCACCACCATCATCATAATCATCACGATTGCCATTAGTCGCTGCCGCGTCGGGACGCCGCCCGCTGGCTGGTGCAGACGGTCACCCAGTACACACACGCGCCGCCGAGCTGTCTCCTCACAGAGCAGTCGCGCGCGTGTCTGCAAGGTGATCGTGTTGCCGATGCCATTACCCTCGCCCGCGCCGCAGTTGTTGCTCCCGGCGCGAGCGGTCGTGATTGGCTGCACCTCGCCACGGCATACCTCCACGCTGACTGCCCACGGTTCGTTTTGATTGTGTGTGTGTGTGTGTGTGTGTGTGTGTCTGCGTCTCTGTCTGTGTCTCTGTCTGCGTCTCTGTCTATGACTGTGTGGGGAAGAGTGCATGCTCCATTTGTGCTTCGTGTCTCTTCTTCCCATGAACGCTCACAGTACATCACCACTTCTATAATCTCCACGACGCTTCCTCCTTCTACCCTGACTCTATCCCTTCCCTATCCCATCAACCCCCCCCCCCCCCAAAAAAAAAAAAAAAAAAAAAAAAAAAAAAAACCCCTTCTCCACTGTTTCAGCCTGGCGCTTGCTGCGCTGAACTGCATCCAGGTGTCTGCCACTGCCGTTCCCGCGCCCCAGACCCGCGACCACTCGTCCCCGCACCCAAAACTCCGCAAGGTGCAGCGTGTCTGTGTGTCTGTGTGTGTTCATGTGTGTTCATGAGTGTGTCTGTGTGTGTGTATGTGTATGTGCGTGCGCACACGCGCTTGTCTGCACGCGTGTCCCCTTTACCACCCCCTGACCTCCAACGCGATTGTGTATTTTCAGATTCCGTTCCAGGACGACAAATTCCTGTCGCAACTTCGTGCCGTCTCCCTCACAGGCATCGCACTCGACGCGTACAAGGTTGACTCTCTGTGATGCACATGCATGCACACGTACGCACGCACTCATGTTCAAGTGTGTGCTCGTGTTGTGGCTCCATGACCTTTGAGCACTTGGCCGCAACACGCATGCGATCATCTTTGGTCTCACACTCGCCCTCTTCCTCACACACGCACTCACTCGCACACACACACTCACACACACACATTCACACACTCGCACACATGAACACATCAGTTGTTGATACGGATTGTGCAGCGTGTTGGGTGGAGCCAATTCCTGGTGTTGCGACAGGAGACATTCTTCACACGTGCACAGACGCACGCGCACCACGTGATTGAGGAACAGCGACGCACACACGCACACCTGCAGCTCGACACCAGCGGCAACGATGGTGAAGCTGGCAGTGGTGATGGTGGAGATGGTGGTGATGGTGGCGGACAGCAGCAACAACAGCAGGGACAGCAACAACCGCAGATACGTTCCGGCGGGGCTGATGGCCCTGTGGTGAACTATGTATCGGTATTCGATGCGCAGTTAACGGTGCACGACACACAATCGGCGTTTCAGGTGAAGGAGACGGTGCCGGCGTTGACACTCGCGCCACCAGCACACGACGCCAATGGCGAGGACAATGACAGTGATGATGAGGGTGGCAGTGATCAGAGAGGTAATGCTGGTGGCAAGGGCGCAGATGAAGATGAAGGTGATCGTGAAGAGAGCGGCGTTGTTCAGGGCGATGCCCACGACACCCAACAAAAAGCAGAAGCAGCAGAAGGAGAAGGTGGAGAAGAAAAAACGGAGAACCAGCAACAGCAGAATCAGACAACCCCTACCCCTTGCGACCACCCGTGCGATGTGCTGTTTGGCGGCAGCGGTGGCTATGGCGGTGGTGTTGTGGAGAGCGAGCACGATGTTGCAGTGCACCAGCGGCTGTGCCGGCGGTGGCTGGACAACATGTGCGCCATTGTGTATGAGGACCTGTGCTGCTTCATTCTGCACAGCGGCGGCACGCAGGGACTCGAGACGGAGGCCGCCCGCGTCGCAGAGGTAGGCGGGGTGGGGGTGCTGTGTGTTTGTTTGTCTGTCTGTCTCTGTCCGTGTGAGTGGGTGTGGGTATACGCGTGTGTGTGTGTGTGTGTGCGTGTGTGTATCTGTGAGTGTGTGTGTGTATCTGTGTATTTGTGTGTGTGTGTGTGTCTGTCTGCCTCTCTGCCTGTCTGTGTATCTGTCTTCTCTCCTTCTCACCACGCCCACCACAAACCCCACACGCCAAACCCCACACCACAACTGCAACAGACGCGCACGCATGCGGACTGGCTGCGGCTTGCGCTGCTCGCCCTGCGTCTGGACCAGACCGTCTTTGCCACAAGCTGTCTGTACGCGTGTGTTGATCTGTGCCCGCCGCGGTCCACGCTCAAACTCCGCGCTCTCGTCCTCCTCATTGACATCAAGGCAAAGGTGAGACGTGGTACTTTTGTGTGAGTGTGTGTCTGTGTGTGTCTGTCTGTGTGTGTGTGTGTCTGTCTGTCTGTCTGTCTGTGTGTCTGTGTGTCTGTGTCTGTGTCTGTCTGTGTGTCTGTGTGTGTGTGTGTTGCTGAATGAAGATGCGTACCATTCACCACCTTCCCGCTCCCCCCTAGGCCGGTGAGCTGGAAGAATTGCTGCCGCTGCTCATCCAACTCGAAGACCTCCTCCTCCTCGCGGATTCTGACGCGCGCGTGGTGAGTCAACACAACAACAGCAATGGCGACATTTGTTGTGTCTCCATGCCTGTGCGGCTCCACATCGTCTGTCGTCACACCCGTAGCATGCTGTCGGTGTCACCATTCACCAACACGACTTGGTTGTGTTCACTCGCCACCCCAATGCTGATATCATTCCCCGTGCTTTTCCAACAACGCGTTATCATCATCGCCAGCCGCTGGTGTATCGCCGCGTCCACGAGTCCCTCTCCACCGCAGCTGTCACGTGCGGGCAGCAAAAAGGTACACACACACACACGCACACACACACACACACGCACGCGCACGCACGCACTGTGCTCTTGTATGCGGGTTCGTGGGCGGAGAAAGCGAGGAAGGTGTGGGCGTTTGGCTCACTCAAACCATCCTTTTGCCAGTGTATGAGGCCGTGCAGCGCACAGCCCTTGAATCGCCAAAGCGACAGCGAGAGGTGCCGGCAACTGCTGACTCAGCATGGGTGGACGATTTCTCCCTCCATCCGCCGCCAACGGCGACAGCATCGACGGCAGGTGGCGGCGGCACTGCACACAGCCACCACCATCATGGCAACGCGTCAACAACTGCTGCTCCTTCTCGCATGCAGTCGTCGCCGGCGCGAGCGCGAAGCAGCAGCAAGAGCACCACCAGCAGTGGTAGTAGCAGTGGTGGTGGTAGTGGTGGTGGTGGTGGTGGTGGCGGTGGTGGCGGTGGTAAGCGGCGAGCTGGTGATGCGGCGATGGTGGTGAAGCCGCTGCTGATGGAGATGGCCGAGCTCCTCCTCATGTGGGACCGGTCCCAGTGGACTTGACGTGGCTTGGCAGGCAGGCTTGCGGGCTGTGTTGTATGCGCGCGCGCGTGCGTGCGTGTGCGTGTGTGTGTGTGTGTATGTGTGTGTGGGTGTGTGGGTGTGTGGGTGTGTGTATCCATGTGTACGCCTTGCTACCGCTCTCCCCTCCCCCTCTTTCCCCTGTGCATGTTGGCTGTTGTTGCGTCAGTATGCGTGCTTGAGCTGGGTGGCGTTTGGCTGCTCAGCTCCCATGGCTATCGACGTAGGTGTTGTGTTGTTTACAAGCGTACACTATCACGCCAGTGGCAAATACAAGCTTGGCTAGCAAGGGAATAAGAAGTGACGGCAAGCGCTCGTGAACCAACCCCCTCTGCGCACACGAAAACGCAGATACGCACACGGACACACACACACACACGAGTACATGTACGTGCTCCGCGTTGTGGTACATGTGCTGTATGCTGCGGTGCGCGTGCCTTGTGTTGTGCTAATCTTCGTTGCGCATGAGGAGGGAGACACGGCGCGTGCGCTCGTACGTGTTGCCACCCCATATGAACTGCTTGTATTCCACAGCGTGCGTGTAGTCATATCGAATGCGATTGCTGGAAGAGGAAAGGCAAGCGCATAAAACACGCGTTTTGTGTTGTGAGGTGGAAGAGTAGCGCATGGCTGGGAGGAAGAAGCAAACATCTTTGGCAGAAGAATGGTGTTGCATTTGGAGATTTGCAGGTGTACAGCGCATGAACCATCGCCAGAGAAGCGAAATGCGTTTAACTTTCAGCATACCACGTGCACCCTTTCGAGAAAGACGTTCTACAACTCGCTATGATGTGTGACATTACCTCATGATGTACATGGAGCGACGGGGAAGGAAGGCTTCGATCACATCACTTCTGTCAACACACGCCACAAGCAGTGCACGGTTAGGAGGTGGTGAAACAAGTCATGACTAACAGCCAAGCAGGACAGCCAAGCAGGACAGCCAAACAGGACAGCCAAGCTGGACAGCCAAGCAGGAGCGTCAGGCTGGATCGTCCGGCTGGATCGTCAGGCTGGATCGTCAGGCTGGATCGTCCGGCTGGAACAAGACACACACAAACACGCACACGTACACAAACACACGCACACGTGTACGCACACGCACACACACGCACACGCACACACACACGCGTGCACACGCACACACCCGCACACATGTGCACAAAGTACACTCACGGGTCCTTCTCTGAAGCAAACGTCATGACAGCGTCAGACAACATGGAAATCCCGGCAATGACTGGACCAGCCTGAAAGAATTACGCAGTTAAGAGGCGTGGGTGCGAGCCATAAGACTGTTCTAGCAGACACAGGCGCGGTGGATGCAGGCGCCAGCACAGGCATGAGTTGTGCGTACGTATTTCAGGCTGTCGACGTGTGGGAAGATGGTTCCCTCAGCCTCCAAGTCCAGGATGTGGTACGAAGGGTTGGGCTGGATGTGGGCTTGGAGGGAAGGGTGCATGGTCTGCAGGCGCGCAAACGTGTCCATGGACGCTGGGTCCCATCGTGACTTGCGCATCTCCCTGTAGCCGCTGATGGCGCGGTCAAAGTGCGCCGAGGCGTACCGCATGCGCTTGAGCTTGCGGTTCACCTGCGACATCAAGTGTTCCTCTTCCGCTTCACTGATGACGTCTGGAAACACAAACAGCCCCAAGGGCCCAGCATCGACCGCTTCCAGTTGATCAAAGTCAACAGCGCACGACGTTGACGGCGACGCTGTGGTTCTCCTTCTCGTGAAGCAGGAAGGCATGTGTTGTTGTTGTTGTGTCTGCTGGTGTGTCTCTTGTTGCTGTGTCTGAAGGGCTGCCTTTGTACTCAGGGTCCGCCACGTCTCCAGCCGCACCATCTGAGGTGCTGTTGCTGCTGCTGCTTCCCTCACCATCACCCTCGTCCTCATCATCCCCTCAGCCACCGCTCTTCTTCTGCTGCCACACTGAGCACTGGCAGCCGCAACCACGCCTCTGCCACACGCCCTCGACTGCATCATCATCGCCATCATCATCATCATCGTTGTCGTTGTTCGTTCTTGCTGGCCTGTCCGGCCGGAATTTTGGTAGAAACCTTTCGACGTTTATCGGTGAATTTTTCTGCGGTGGCATGGCCAAGTTTCCAACTCAAGATTGCAGCACCGCCACTCACTGCTGTTCGCTTATTTCGCCTTCCTCTCCATCACACGCACCAGCACCGGATATGAACGCAACAGCGTCTCGTGCCCGCTCCTGCCTCACGGCCGTGCGCCGCCTTCACGCGGGCCGCACAGCCAAGGCCGCCGAGCAGGTAACTAACAGCGGGGTTGTGTCGGTCAGTCGTGTAGACCTCGGTTGTGTTGTTGTGGAGTCTTTTGTTGCTTGTTTGTGCGGTCTTCCGTTGGCATTTGCAAAGATGGCCTTCCAGTCAAGTCAGCTACTTTTCCTCCTGCAACATGCACCTGCTCGTACCGTTGTCGGCGGTTCGCCAACATGGGGAGATGGGAAGACGAAAAAAAGAAAGAGTGCGAGAGAGTGAGAGGTGCACCTGCACGCACACACGCACACACGCGCAAGGTCAAACACGTAACTCGCCCTCATCTCTTGTCGTGCATGTGCCACACCGCTCCATTCCTTCCCATTGTCGCTAAAAGGTGTCGTCTGCTTACCCCATCATCGACCACGAGTTTGATGCCGTCGTCGTTGGTGCCGGTGGTGCCGGCCTTCGCGCCGCCTTCGGCCTCACCCAGCACGGCTTCAAGACTGCTTGCATCACCAAGCTCTTCCCCACCCGCTCCCACACCGTCGCTGCTCAGGTCTGCGTGTGTGTGTGTGTGTGGACACCAGGTTGCAAGGCGTTCACCACGACTCCTTGTCTTTGGTCTTGACCTTGTTTGTCCTTTGTTTGCCTTCGTGTGTCAATGGGTTTTCGATGGCAGTCCTGTCTATCAACAATGCATGTATGGACAGCTCAGTACATGGATGCGTGTGTGTGACCTGTGACGGCTTCCCTTCTCATCTTGTGTGCAATTCCCACGTCGTTGTGCCCTCCCGACACCCCCACCCCCCTCTTTCTCCTCATAGGGTGGTATCAACGCCGCCCTCGGCAACATGGAGGAGGACGACTGGCGCTTCCACTTTTACGACACCGTCAAGGGTTCGGATTGGCTTGGCGACCAGGACGCCATCCACTACATGACCCGCGAAGCCCCCAAGACCGTCATCGAGGTGTGTGTGTGTGTGTCTGTGTGTCTGTGTGTCTGTGTGTCTGTCTGTATGCGTGGAATTTACGTGGCTGTGCCTGTCAACTTTGCACAGTGTGTGCGGGATTTGACACCCCATGACCAGCCCTTGAGTTCAGCAAAGGTTTTCGTTGTCACCGTCCTCACCACAAAGCTCTGTTCCCTCTCCTCTCTCTCTCTCTCTCTCTCCTCTCTGCCCTTGCCCTGTGGCCTTCAGCTTGAGAACTACGGCATGCCCTTCTCCCGAACGGAGGAAGGCCGCATCTACCAGCGCGCCTTTGGTGGCCAAAGCCTCAAGTTTGGCAAGGGCGGCCAGGCCCACCGCTGCTGCGCCGTCGCTGACCGCACGGGCCACTCCCTCCTCCACACCCTCTACGGCCAGGTGTGTATGTGTGTGGGTGTTTGGATGTTTGTGTGTTTGTGCGCGTGTGTGTCTGTCTGCAACCTGCCCGCGTGTGTGTCTATCTGCAACCTGCTCGCGTGTGTGTCTGTCTGCAACCTGCCCGTCTGCTTATCTGCCTGCCCGCCTCCGTGTGATCCTCGTTGCAAATTCTCACGTTCAATCAACGACCCAACCCAACCCCCCTTCAACGCACCTACCCATCTTCGCCTCCGTGCAATGCAGTCCCTCCGCTACGACACGGCCTACTTCATTGAGTACTTTGCGCTTGACCTGATCATGAACGACGAGGGCGCCTGCGTCGGTGTCCTGGCCATGTGCCAGGAGGACGGTACCCTGCACCGCTTCCACTGCAAGAACACCGTGCTTGCCACTGGTGGTTACGGCCGCGCCTACTTCTCCGCCACCTCTGCCCACGCCTGCACTGGTGACGGCAACGCCATGGTTGCCCGCGCCGGCCTCCAGAACGAGGACCTCGAGTTTGTTCAGTTCCACCCAACGGTGCGTTGCGTGTGCTTGTAAATGTGCGTGTACACGTGAGCGAGTTTACGATTTTACGTGTGCGTGTGTCTGCTTGTGCGTGCGTGCATGCATGGCATGTGTGTTGCGTGGGGAGGATCTTAAACACACACACACACACACACTCATACATCCACACATATACATATATATATATACACACACACGCATACATACACACACATACATATGCACACACACGCATTCATACACACACACTATATTGCATCGACCTCACCACACGCACCATGTTTTCCCTCTCCCTGCCCCCTGTCTCCTGATTGCGTTGTCTGCGACAGGGCATCTACGGTGCCGGCTGCCTGATCACGGAGGGTTGCCGTGGTGAGGGCGGTATTCTGCTCAACAGCGAGGGCGAGCGCTTCATGGAGCGCTATGCCCCGACGGCCAAGGACCTTGCCTCCCGCGACGTCGTCTCCCGCTCCTCCACCATTGAGATTCGCGAGGGCCGCGGCTGCGGACCCAACAAGGACCACGTGTACCTGCAGCTGTCGCACCTGCCAACGGAGGTGCTGCAGGAGCGCCTGCCCGGTATTGTTGAGACGGCCGCCATCTTCGCCGGTGTTGACGCCACCAAGGAGCCCATCCCCGTGCTGCCCACCGTCCACTACAACATGGGCGGCGTGCCCACCAACTACCGCGGTCAGGTCATCAAGAACGTCAACGGCCAGGACGAGGTCGTGCCCGGCCTGTACGCTGCTGGCGAGGTTGCCTGCGCCTCTGTCCACGGTGCCAACCGCCTCGGCGCCAACTCCCTCCTCGACATTGTTGTCTTCGGCCGCGGTGCGTACCATGCGCGCTGTGGCCGGTGCTATTGGTCGTGGTAGTGATGGTGGTAGTTGTGCTGCTGATGGTTTTGCCATCTCCATTTGCACATTATCTCATCCCTTTCATCCCCTCCTCCTGCCCGTTTTTGTTTTCTCCAAACACAATCTCATTCTCGCACACCCACGCCTTTTAATGTCTCGACAGCGTGCGCCAACACGATTGCGGAGGAGGACAAGCCCGGCGCCAAGATCCCCGACATGCCCGCCAACGCCGGCGAGGCCTCGATTGCCAACCTGGACCAGGTGCGCCACGCCAACGGCAGCGCCACCACCGCCGAGCTGCGTCTGGAGATGCAGAAGACCATGCAGAGCCACGCCGCCGTCTTCCGCACGGGCGAGGTCCTGCAGGAGGGCTGCGACCTCCTTGCAAAGACCTACGACACCATGGTGCGAACCAGCAACGATTGCGTGTGTGTGGATGTGGGTGTGCGAGTGTGTGGGTGTGGGTACGTACTGCGTGAGTACTGGTGGTTTTGTGCTGTGAGAACTGAACATGGCAACCCATTGGCGGCTTTTGTGGCGTGTTGTCGCGCTTGCTGACGCCGAGACCTGTCCACGTTAACCAATCCTTTGCACCAACACCAACCCTCACACAATCCCAAACACGGCAACACTTGTGCAGGTGTCTGACCTGAAGACGTTTGACCGCGGTATGGTGTTCAACACGGATCTGATTGAGGCCCTTGAGCTGCAGAACCTGATGACGTGCGCCCTGCAGACGATTGTCTCTGCCGAGGCCCGCAAGGAGTCTCGCGGCGCCCACTCGCGCGAGGACTACAAGGACCGCGTGGATGAGTATGACTACACCAAGCCCATCGAGGGCCAGACCAAGCTCTCCTTTGACGAGCACTGGAGGAAGCACACCCTCTCCACTTTTGTACGTCTGCCGCATGCGTCGTGTAGCCGTGCCTGCTTTTGACGTGATGCACACGAGCAACACATGCACAACCTGCTGACGCTCGCTCACACACACACACACACACATGCACGCGAACGAACACACACACCCACACACACACACACACTCTCTCTCTCTCTCTCACCATCACACTCACACTCTCACTCACTCACTCACACTCACAATCACACTCACAATCACACTCACCCACACAGGACACGGCGAAGGGCTCTGTTGACCTGAAGTACCGCCCTGTCATCGATGACACCCTTGACAAGCAGGAGTGCGAGACCGTGCCCCCTGTCATTCGCGTCTACTAAAGTGCTTGGCTTCTCACTCGTGCATCCCCATGATCCCTGTCTTGTTTGAGGATGTGAGCTGATCACCAACCCTCCCACCTCCCCCCCCCCTTCTTCCACGCTTACTACGCCCTTTCCCTGTGCTCTTTCCATGCTTGATTTCTTGTGTTCTTTCATACACTTTTGTCCGTGGCATCCTTTTGCAGCAACAGGGCTTCCTTCACGCGCGCTCGCTTGTCGTGTGTCGGTTGCTTTGTTGTCGTACCTTCCGTGTGTTTTGTTTCACTCCTGATGGTTGCTGTTTTGTTGGCGTCTGTCGGTGTTGCCCCGTGTGGCATGCGCTCTGAAACGGGCCGCGTGTCGCGCCATTCCAACCAACGCTTTCCACCCAACAGCAACAACACCCAAATACACAAGGGCAACCAAACGAACATGGAGCATGTCGTCGTGCGAGGGGTGAAGCTGCTTGTGTGAGAGCTGGTGTGGTTGAGGAATATTTTCGTAAGATGTGCCCAATAATCTACAAGCACGACCAGCGTGCGTGCGCTGACACCTTCCTTGTTGCATCTTCCCATCCTCGAGCTTTCTGAAGTGACCACCCACGCACAGGCACGCAGACAACATGAGCACGAGCGCGAGCGAGTGGGCGCTGGTTGCAGAACACCTGCTTGTGCCGCCGCCAATGACAAGAATCGCGACGGACGAACAGGGACTTGAGGCCTTCGATGTCCTCGATGTGGACGTGTATTACATTCGCGCCAAGCGCGACGTGGCTCGCGCCTTCTTCAACCTCATGCTGACGTGCCGCGAGCTCTACCACGACTTGCCATGCGCCATGCCAAAATGGTGCCTTGCTGATGTGTTTGCTGACGTTGCAAAGAGTAACTATGCCATCTGGTCTGACCTGCGCCTGAACTCTTCCCTCAAGAAGAAGCCCCGAGCGGTCAAGCAGTGGATTGACACGTTCCAGATGGACAAGATCAAACCTGTGGAGGCCGCCTGGCGCGAGCGCAGCGTTGACGCGACCGATGCAGATGCACCTAGCACAACCATCGACGCTTGGCTGCAGAACCGATTTCTCGTGCACTGCTGGCTTGGGGTGACGTGGGATAGCACCTGCTCCTTCCTCGAGACTCAAGTGCACGATGCCCGTTTCTGGCGCAGGTTCAGACAATGCGGGCGGCTTTGGCTTGGCAGCTTCACTGCGCTTGAGAAGTGGAGCAAGAATGTGCAGCGGCAAGAACAAGAACAACAACAACAACAACAACAACAACAACAACAACAACAACAACAACACAGTTATGCAGCACATGGGCTGCAAACCGCACGCCAGAAGCACGAACAACCAAACCAGCCTCGCGCTGAAGCAGTGCCATCGAAGCCGCATCAACAATGCCGCCTGCAGCTGCAACAACATCATCAACAACACGAGGTAGAAGGCAAGGAAGGGAGTAAGAACGGAGACGAGGGAGAAGACCAGCGCCAGCAACACCACCACCTGCAACACCACCAGCAACAACACCACCACCAGCAACACCGTGCTGCACCTGCGGTATTCTCCATGCGGGCCAGGTTCAGCAACCAAACATGTGCTGATCGCTGGAATGTGCTTCGAATGACAGCACTTGCAGATGTGCGCGGAGAGTTAGTGTACTTGACATCAGGCAGATCACGCTTTTCCACAATCAAAGCGTGCAACATTACCCGAGTTGTCCTCTGTGACACTTTACGCTTCCAGTCTGCTGCTGTTGCGGTAGAGGACGTTGACTGCTTCGTCTGGACGGGAGCGACAGGCACTACGCCTCGCCGCTGTCACCTGCAACGCGTGCGATGCATTGACATCCGCGATATATGGAGCACGATTTGCAATAATTTGAGTGACCTCGCAGAGGCAGGTCTTTCCAGCGTCACGCTCTTAAACTTTAGCCATGACACGACCAACCTCACTCCACTGATCGGAACCAAGCACCTGGCTCTCCACCGCGTTCTCTGCTCCAGTGGGCACGAGGCCATTGCAGCAGCAGAATCTCTTCAGCTGAAGGCGATACCGCTTGAGATCGACACATTGAACGCAACTCAGGTGTCTCTTTGTGACCTCACCGCCGTCCCTGAGGTATTGCATCTTCCCAACGCAACAACGATTGAGTTGCAGCGCAACCCGAACATGCGCGTGACGTGCCCGCGTCACATCCGCAAGCTTGTAATCCACCATGCGTTGTCTTCGCTGGCCACATTTCCAGACTTTGAGCACGCAGATGAGGTGTGCTTCGCGCTGGAGTCGATTGAAATTTCTGCCCTGGAGTCGATTGAAATTCCTGCCCTGACACCGGAGCAGCTGGCATCTCTTGGCCGCCGGGTTGACAAACTACAACTGCTGCATTGTATTGATGACATCCGGGACCTGAATGTCATCCCAAGCCGTGTCGTCGTATTTGTCATGAAACGGGAGGTGGAGGCGCCGGTGCCACCGTGTGTTCAGCTGCTGAAGGTGTTCTTCGAGCACGACCTCCACTGCAGCTTTGTGCAACACGTGCCGCAGGTACTGCTTCAGCAAGACACATACGCTGGTGCAGACGTCCCCATGCATGACTTTCACTTACTCTCTGGACGAAAGCTGCTCGAACTCGTCAGCTGCAGACTGGAGGGGGAACTCGCCGACTGCGAGCACGTGCGCCTGGCCGACTGCAGTGGGTCTGTCGCGATGGCCTCCATGACCTCGTTACACGTTGAGAACGCCACCGTTGGCGGTTCGACCACCCCCCTTCACCAGCAGTCGCAGCATGGTCAGACGAAACGACTGGCGAGTGCTGGCGTACGGAGTACTGGTGGTGACGATGGTGGTGGAAGTGGTGGTGATGGTGGCAACAACAACAATAGCAGCAACAACGACAACAGCAATGATGGTGGTGATGATGATGATGATGATGATGATGGTGATGATGATGATGATGATGATGATGATGATGATGATGATGCATCCGCAGGCGTGTTGGTGATCAACCGCATTCAGGATGTGAACCACTGCCGGATCTTGACGTGCAACATCAAGGATTTTGCGTGCATCAGCAGCGTGCAGCGCCTTATTCTCGACAACTGCGGGTTTGATGGTGTGGATAACATCCCACCCGTCACGTCGCTTGTGGTGAAATACTGCTCCACAATCGACGAAGAGTGGCGGTGGCCCGACGTGACTCTCGTCAACCGATCGCCAGAGGAGATGAGGCAGATACTGCTCGCAGGAAAGCGACATTACGAGTGTTGCAGTGACACCTCTTGCAGCGAAGATGATGATGGTGACGATAATGGTGATGATGATTATGATTTTGATGATGACTCTGAGGACGACGATGATTACGATGATTACGATGATGATGATGATGACGATGATTGGTGGTGATGATGATGATGATGATGATGATGATGATGATGATGATGACGATGATTGGTGGTGATGCCGACATGCTTTTTGTTGTTCTGGGTCACTAAGGTTTGTGACAGTGCTGCTGAGTACGTTTGTTGTGTGTGTGTGTGTGTGTGTGTGTGTATGTGTGTGTGTGTGTGTGTGTTTAGCAACCCTTGGTGCGATCATATCACCTCTCAGCAGAACGCTCGTTCTCGTTAACATTACGCCCACCATTGATTCGTGAAGAAAGAGGCTGCGATGTCAGCTGTTGTCCAACATCACACACACACACACACACACACACACACACACACACACACACACACACACACACACACACACACACACACACACACACACACACACACACACACACACACACACACACACACACACACACACACAAAGCGCACACAACTCCTTGGTCGACTGAATTCAGTCGGTCGCGTAGGACCACAAAACAACAGAGGAACAACACCGCTGTTGAACTGCGTTGTGTCGGACGAGCGACTTTGCACAGGGGGCAACAACAACAACAACAACAACAACAACGAGGAGGATGGGTGAACGGTTTGAGGTCAAGTACCGTGGGTTTGTGTACATCGACCAGCCCAGCGGGGGGCTTCCTGATCGAAAGTCGATGGAAAAGGCGGCCAAACTGTTGAAGAGCCACAAGAAAACGGCCCAGAACATCCACCCGCTCTTTGCGCGTGGCCTGGACACCAAACTCAACCTCGAGGTACATGCATCCATGCCGTGTCCGTGTTGCACAGCGTTGCAATGTACGTGTGTGT